CCAAGCCCGCCGCGCTTGAAGGAACCGGGGGGTTGTGGAAGATGCAGCCCCATCCGGCCATCGGGGAACATTCCTCCCCCCTCCTTTCGAGGAGACGCTCTGTGCAGATGACAGGAGGTGCCAGCCCATGGAGAACCCGATCCTGATCCTGCCTCTCTTCTCCGAGCCCCCAGGGACAAGACCCCCACGTGTCGTCAGCTCTCAGGCGCGTCAATTCTCCACAGCCAGTGGCCCCAGCCCCTTCTAGTGTGGACATGTCCCTGAACCCCAGCCGGAAGGGCCAGCGGAGGCCACTCGCTCCCCTCCCCTCTTACGATGCTAAACAGCAGCCAGCGAGGGAGGCCGAAAAAAAATCTAGACCGGGTCACTGAAAACAGAGCAAAGCCCCAAGTGGCTCCAAAATTACCGTCTCGGCTTCAGTGTGTTTTTCCTTCTCATCTCAGCAACTTCCCCCTCTCCTCCCTTCTGTACACACTTCAAAACACAAACGCAGGGAAGGGAAGCACGATATTTGGATGTGAAAAAATGAGAGGGTTTCTTTCAACATGAACTTCTGGCCATTCTGCGTGGGAGGAGAAAGCCAGAGCTAGTCCCGAGGCGGCGGCCGGGGGGGGGGGTATCGACTCGGGGAAAACACAGCCCCGCGGGGGGGTAAAATCGGCACCGCTCCGTTAACTTTAAGGAACTGGCGACTTGACTTCAGGGGTGCCGCTCCTAACATTTACAGGCGCTACAAAGCCATCCTGCCCATCCCGTCTGAGCTCTTACATAACTCAGGCGGAGCACAGCCATCCAGCCCGTAGCTGGTGGTTGAGCTAGTCTCTTTTCGAAAGAGGGGGACAGACTCTGACTTCGGGAGAAGGGCGGCAAATAGGGGCTGTCAACTGAGCCCAGGTGAGGTTCTCCCCGTTGTTAAAATGCCAGAACCCTTCAACATTGAAAGAGCTCCACAGTAGCACATTTACATGCCCAGATCTACGTCACCAACACACGTTCTCTCTTCTGCAATCCCACACTGATCCTTCCGGTTGTCCCAGAATTAAGCTTTGCACGGCGTCCGTCCTCAGGAGAAGGAATGAGGGGAGAACAGAGTGAGATATTCCATACCAAACTGCCTTATCAAGCTATCTTTCCACCGGGTTGTTTCTTCCATCAACCGACACCGAAGCTCGAGGTTAAATATTGTGACTTTGCCAGTGTTACGCACCCCAAAAACATGCCCCCCCCACCCGGCCAGGCATGCCGCGTGCTGTGTCTTGCTGTGAATTCACCACCATCCGAACACTACCAGCATTTCCAGTCAAGCAACCGATCAGTTCTAACCCACGAAGAGGCTAACGTTGACAGTGGGGGAGTGCGCGGGTCGGGGATGGGCGTTGTACTAAGGGGGTTTATTTTCACCCGCATCCAGTTTCCGAGTGTGTGAGATTCTTGGCTTTGTGGCGTCCGGTTCCCAGTCCTGTGCCGTTTGTTTCGATGTCCTGACCTCTGTGTTGTACTTAATAAAACACGTTTGGCCTGTTGTAAATAGCATGTGGAATTACTAGTTTTGCTAAGAAATAAAAGCAACTATTTTATTACGAGTTACTCTCATTATTTACAGCTGGCACTGGGGTCCCCGAGGAGACACTACGGAGATCTTACGCCAGTGGGCCTGTCTGGCTCAGAACCTGCCTCCCCTCAGGCCAATGGGGCCACCCAGGCTGGCAACCCCGCATCATATCAAACCAAGGGCGCATCTAGCCCAGATCCCACCACCCCCACCCACCCCTCAGGTCAGACCAATGGGCGTATCCAGCCCAGATCCCACTGCATCCACCCATAACCTGGCTGGCTAAAGCACCTGTCTGGTAAACAGGAGATCCTAGGTTCAGCTCCCAGTGGTGCCTTGGTCTCCTTATTTTTTTGGGGGAGGGTGGGGGAAGGATAGTTCAGTGGTTTGAGCATTGGCCTGCTAAACCCAGGGTTGGGAGTTCAATCCTTGAGGGGGCCATTTAGGGACCTGGGGTAAAAATCTGTCTGGGGATTGGTCCTGCTTTGAGCAGGGGGTTGGACTAGATACCTCCTGAGGTCCCTTCTGTCATGGAGTCCCCGGGCGATGTGCTGGAACTGCTCCCCACAAAGCCAGTCAGGACTTTGGGGAGCCTCCTTTCCCTCGGAGCAGACTGTCTTCAGGGCAAGAAGCTCACACAGCTTCACCTCCTGGGTCTCTCCTGGGAGCATTCAGCATATGCCCCTCCGTGCGCTTCCCACAGCGAGTCCGCCCCAGCGGGGTCCTGGGGAAGCCAGAGGGTTCTGCACCCCCGCTTCACAGTCAGACGTGACTCTCAGCCAGCCAGTAACACAGAGGTTTATTAGATGACAGGAACACGGTCTAAAACAGAGCTTGTAGGTCCAGCAAATGGGACCCCTCCGCTGGGTCCATTCTGGGGTTCAGAGAGCCAGACACCCATGTCTGCCCTCACTCCTAGTCCCCAGGTAGCTCCAACTCTCCAACCACCTCCTTCTCTGGGCTTTGTCTCTTTCCCAGGTCAGGAGGTCACCTGATCTCTTTGTTCACCTTTAGCTATTTCCTTGCAGGGGGGGAAGGGGCCCGGCCATTTGTTGCCAGGGAGACAGTGTCAGTGATTTATGCACACTGGCCTTTCCCCACCACCTAGAGACTTAAGAACTGCATAGGGGAAACTGAGGCACCCACACAGTATTCAGAGGAAACATTAAGAACAGTCCCACTTCCTCACACCCCCCAGCCCTGATATTCTATGAACCTCAGGTCAGATCAATGAGCCCATCCAGCCTGGATCCCACCGCACCCACGTACTGGGTGAAACCAATGGGCTCACCTTCCTTTTATCTTACTGGTGCGGAGCCGATTGCCCCTCCAGGCCAGTCTCCCCCACAGTGCAGCCGCCAGCACCCTGTGCTCGAGAGACTGCCACCTTACCATCTACCTAGGGAGTGGTACCATCTTCACCCCACTGTGCATGAGCCCCCCACCAACCCACCCACACTGCCCTTAGCCTTGTCTCCACTGCCTGGGATTGGCGTTACTGCCGAGGGCTCACAGACCTCAGCCGAGTGCGGGGACCCCACAGGCCCTCAAAGCAACTGGCCTAACCAGCCTGTTGCAGGCATGACGCAGGCGTGTCTGGCTGAGATTCCCTGGTCTGGGGTCTACAGGACGGATGGCCGTATGGATACCTAGTAAGCTATTACATGTATCATGGTAGTGGCTAGAGGCATTAACTTGGCTCGTCACCCAGAAACGCGCCTTGTGCCAGCTGCAGCTAAGACCCTCCCTGACCGAGATCAGGGCCCCTGTTGTGCCAGACACTTGTCAGACTCCCTCTGACCGAAATCGGGGTCCCCCCTTGTTCTGGGCACTGCACAGATCCCCCCGACCAAAATCAGGGTCCTCCCTTGTTCTGGGCACCGCATAGATTCCCTGACCAAAATCGGGGTCCTCCCTTGTTCTGGGCACCGCACAGATCCCCTCGACCGAAATCGGGGTCCCCCCCTTGTTCTGGGCACCGCACAGATTCTCCTGACCAAAATCGGGGTTCTCCCTCCTTGCGCCTGGCACTGCACAGACAAAGTGAATGCCCCACAACGTTGACCATGTAAATAGACAAAGTCTCCCTATTCACACATAGGGAAACCGAGGCTGGAGAGATGCAGTGACTCATCCAAGGTGAAAACATCCACTCAATGTGCAGCGGCAGCCGGAAAAGTGAACAGAATGTTGGGAATCATTAAGAAAGGGATAGAGAATCAGACAGAAAATATCATGTTGCCTCTCTATAAATCCATGGTACCCCCACATCTTGAATACTGTGTGCAGATGTGGTCGCCCCATCTCAAAAAAGATCTATTGGACTTGGAAAAGATACAGAAAAGGGCAACAAAAATTATGAGGGGTCTGGAACGGCTTCCGTATGAGGAGAAGTTAAACAGACTGGGACTGTTCAGCTTGGAAAAGAGATGGCTAAGGGGAGTTATGATTGAGGTCTATAAAATCATGACGGGTGTGGAGAAAGTAAATAAGGAAGTGTTATTTACTCCTTCTCATAACACAAGAACTAGGGGTCACCCAATGAAATGAATAGGCAGGGGGTTTAAAACAAACAAAAGGAAGTATTTCTTCACACAACGCACTGTTAACCTGTGCAACTCCTCGCCAGAGGATGTTGCGAAGGCCAAGACTATAACATGGTTCAAAGAAGAACTAAAGAAGTTCACGGAAGATAGGTCCATCAATGGCTATTAGCCAGGATGGGCAGGAATGGTGTCCCTGGCCTCTGTTTGCCAGAAGCTGGGAATGGGCGACAGGGGATGGGTCACTTGATGATTCCCTGTTCTGTTCATTCCCTCTGGGGCACCTGGCATTGGCCACTGTCGGCAGACGGGATACTGGGCTAGATGGACGGTTGGGCTGACCCAGTCTGGCTGTTCTTAAGGCCATGCAGAGGGACTATGTCAGAGCAGGGGCCCTGAGTTCCAGACCCAGGCCCGGATCTTTCACCCCGAGCTCCGCCGTGGCTGGGCTGGCTCTCGGGGGCTGCGTTCGCACAGCAGGAGAGTTGGGGCTGACGCCGGGGATGCCGGAGAGCGCTGCGCGCCGCTGCTGGGAGAGGAGCCGACTGGCAGATTTCACTGCGGGGAGAATGATCCGGACTGGCAGAATTCGGGCCTGACCTGAGCTCCAGGCAGCAACCCCGGGAATGGGAGAACTGTCCTAGGTCTCAGTGCCAGCCTGCCCACCCAGCTGCTGTGCTGGCATCCCAGGGAGCGGGAGCAGGCGGCCCCAGCAGCTGGGGCGTTGGTTGGGGTAGGCACAGGGTGGGGACAGACCCTCGAGACCGACCCCGGCTGCGGAGCCATATAAAACTCATTGCGCACAGCAGACCGGGGGAGGGAGGCGGGTGTGGACGCACCCATCGGGGTTAGCCAGTACCCCTCTCCCTTCCCCCCCGCACATTAACTCACTCCACACGGCCGAGTTCTCCACACACACTTTATTCCAAAGGGGGGACCCCGGTTCCCCAAGGGGGGGGGCACGCGCTCCCCACGCCCTGAGTGCCCCGCCCACGGAGATGCCGGGGGAAATGGGACCCTGGGATTGGCTGTAGCCCCCTGCCCGGCGGTACCCAGCTGTGGTGTGGCGATCGCTCCGGCCGGCGGCAGGATCACTGTGCAGGGGGATCTCTCTGCACAGTCCCCCCGCCCAGCCGGCCCCTCTCCCCATGCTCCCCGCTCTTAGTGGCCATCGGCAGGAAGGAGAACGCCGGGGGTGGGGGGCTCTGGCAGGGTCCCGTGGGCTCCCCGAGGGGTGTATATCTATATATTTACACACAGTTCATGGGGCTCACCCCCCCCGTCGGCTCCAGGGCGAATTGGTCCCACGTCCGGCTGCTGCTCCACGGGACGAGGACGCCGGGGACGTGGCGCCCGCGGTGTCCGACGCGGCTGGGGAGGAAGGGCGAGCGGGGGAGGCCAGGCGAACGGCTCGCTACGCCAGCCCCATCTCCTCCAGCACGCTGCGGGGTGACTCATCCTCCTGCAGCACAGAGATAAGGGGGGAGGGAGGGGACGTCAGCAGGGGGGAGACAGAGTCCCTCCGTCCTCCCCCCACATGGGGAGCGGGTTAGAGCCCCGTGGCAGGAGGGCTGGGATTCAGGGACAGAGGGACCCTTGTTGCAGGCAGAGTGGGGCGCTCTGAACACTCACTTTCCCCCTCCTCCCTATAACCGGGCTGGTCTCAGCCTCGCCGGTCTGTCCCCCCAGCCCAGGCCAAGCTTCTGCCCCTGAGCTAGGCCTGCCTAGCACTGCCCCCCCCGTGCAGTCTAGTGCCCCCCAGGATGGCTGGGACCCTGGGCATGTCTCCCGCCACCCCCCGCATTAACCCCCAGGGTGCCGGAGATGGGCTGGATTGAGTTATCACCCCGGCCTGGCACTAACCCCGCCATGCCAGCCCCACAGCGCCCCTCAGGGACGGGCGAGGGACCCAGGCCGGGCGTTAATCCCTCGGGCGCTGGGCGGGGCGCTGGCTGGAGTTTGCGAGCGAGAAGTGGCTGCTTTCTGCCGGCAGCCCGGTCGCCCACGCTGAGCACAGGAGAGAGCCGCAGAGCCCGGTGACTCATCCCCCTGCACCACAGCCTAGGCAATGAGACAGCACCTGCAGTGAGGGCGGGGGGCCCGCTCCCCCGCATCCCCCCATGCTGCGACACAGCCGGGGCTGGAGACAGGATCCCAGCCCCCTCGCCCCAGCCGCTGGTGTGTGCGGGGGGTGTGAAGGGATGTGGTGGTGGGAGCAGTGCACAGGGGACAACATTGAGGGCTGCTGGGCTCTGATCCCCAGCCCTGGGAGCGAGGTGGCACCCCAGGGGTTCATGCCCAGCTGGGGGGTGGTCCTGTCTTTGGATGCACGCAGGAGCAGGCCACACCCAGCCCCATGGCCAGCGGCTGTGACAGCACGACATGAACCCAGCCTGGCTCTGCTCCAGCCGGGAGGGGAGGGGGGGGGGCATTGGCAGGTTACCCCCCACACACTGAGCGGCCCAACCCCCCCGGCCCTCCCTACCTCCTGCAGCAGGTCAGCCTGCTCGATGGCTTTCAGCACGCTCTTCTTGGAGGTGTCTTGGATCTCCCCGCCCATGAGGAACTCGTCCAGAATGAAATAGGCCTTCTCGAAGTTGAAGATGATATCAAGCTCGCACACCTGGGGCGGGAGGGAGGGAGAGAGAGAGGAGTATCAGGGCTGCCCGGAGCCGGGGAGAGAACCCAGGAGTCCTGGCTCCCAGCCCCCATTGCTCTAATCCACCAGCCCCCACTTCCCCCCCAGAGCCGGGGAGAGAACCCAGGAGTCCTGGCTCCCAGCCCCTTCACTCCACTAGCCCTCCGCCCTGTGCTATGGGGCTCTGTTCCCCTCTCAGAGGGAGGGACGCATACAGCTGGGAGGGGGGTGAAAATATGACCAAGTGGGAATTTTTTGTAATGTATTTTATGTTGCCGCTGTGTGCCTCAGTTTCCCCTATACTCCACACGGCTCCCCAGTGGGGTAACGAGGATGAAGGGAACGTCTACCCCTGCAGCGCGTGTGGTCAAGACGCTCTGGGCCGACGGGAGAGACGCTCTCACCTCAGCACAGCGCAACGCACAGGTCGGGCTAACATACGTCGCTCTGGGGGGGGCGTGTGGTGGACACGGGTTTCACTCACACCAGTGGCAGTGTCCACGTGGCCTCTGCTCCCACCGGGTGGGCCGAACGGGTCATTAAAAGGATCAACTCAGTGGGCCCGGACATTAACGCCTAGCGCCCCATGCCCCACAGGGCAAAGTATTCCCTGCCTCTCCGCAGGGAAGCTGGGCACCACCCCGGCTGGAGACCACAGGACTGAGCGGCACGGGGCGCGGGACGTGCTAGCCGCTTGCTGCCGGCCTGACCGAGAGCGTGAGCCGGGAAATGGGGGCCAGGTCAGCTGGGTGGGTGCACTGTGGCGCGAGACACCCCTGATCGGGAACGGCGGCTGGGCAGGAGGCTGGCGCACGGAGGCTCAGTCTAGGAGGTGTTGGGGCCCCGGGACCGGCCCTGGAGGCAGAGTGGGGCCCTGGCCTGCGGCTCCGTGACAGGGAATTAGCCGGATTAGCCCAATTAGCGTTTCTATCCCCCGCGGCTCAGCGGGCAGGCGCCTGCCCGGGGGGATTAACGAGGCAGAGTTAATGCGCGGGGGATTAGCTGGGATTTGACCCACCCACCCACAGGGCCCTGGGCCCGAGCCAGCCACCGGATCAGAGGGTTCCGGGGTCACCCAGGCCCCTTGCCTAGGGTCAGCAAGTCCCGCTGCCCGTCTCCAGGGCACCACACCCACCCTAGGGTCACTGCCTGCCCCATACCCCCGGGACCCCAGACCCGTAGGGTGCATGTGTGTGTGTGTATGTGGGGGGGGGGGGGCAGCACTCACACTGCCGAAGTATTTGTCCAGCAGCTCCACGTATCGGTGGATCAGCTCCAGCGTGATCAGCTCATTGTCCTGGCCTTCAATGGCGCAGCAGAAGTACAGGCTGGCGTATCTGCGGGCGCATGGCAGAGAGCTGAGCGGGGCAGGGTGGGGGGGGAGATCCCAGCCAGCACAGGCCTGGGAGTGTACACGGGGAGGGTTGTGGCACATCCCCATGCCCCACCCCCACTACCCAAACCTCCCCCTGGTCCGGGCTGAGCCGAGCCCGTTAGACCCCTGGGGAGGCTCAGTTCCAGTGCCAGGGCCCCACAGGACGGGCAGAGTCAGAGACCCCCGACCCTCCCACTACGTGCCCTGCTCCTCCCGGGCCCAGACCAGGGCGGCGCAAGGGGAAACTGCCCCCCCCCACCCCCAGGTTCCCTGTGGCCCGTTCAGCCCTCTGGTGCCTCTGCTCGGGCCGCCAGCGTGGGAAGTGCCAGGTGCCAACAATGCCCTGTGACGGGGCGGCTGGGCTCTGGCTCCCAGCCTCAACGATGACAGACTGCAGGCTACGGGCTACCGAGTGACCTGGAGACGGGGTAAGGCTGGGGCGCCGGCTCCCACCCGGCCCCAGGGCGGGCACTGGCTGGCTCAGGGGGGCGGGGAATGAGGCAGGGGTCTGTCCCCTCTAGGGAGCGCTGGCATCAGGAAAATTCCCTTCTCCCCTAGGGTGGTGACGGTGGGGGGGGAGGAGCTGTGTGTGTGGGGATTATGGGGAGTTGTGCATTTGAGGGGGGAGCTCTCTGCTCAGGCTGCCCCCCGGGG